TTCAGCTCACTGCAACCTCCGCCTGCCTGGTTTCAAGCGATTTTCATGCCTCGGCCTCCCAAATAGCTGGATTACAGGTGGCCTGCCACCATGCCCAGCTAAATTTTGTATTTTTTTTAGTAGAGATGGGGTTTCACGATGTTGCCCAGGCTAGGAGACAGGAGGATTGCTTGAGCCCGAGGTTGAGGCTGCAGTGAGCCAAGACTGTGCCACTGCACTCCAGCCTGGGTGACAAGACTCCGTCTCAATTAGAAAAAAAAAAAAAAAAAAGGAAATCTCTGAAGTGATAGTAATGTTTTATGTCTCGATAGCAATTTGGGATACAAAGGTATAGACATTTATTATTATTAAAACTTGGAAATTTAAACACAAGCACGTAAGGTTTATACATTTCATTGTATACATATTTTACTCCAAAAGAAAGAAGTCAACAAATATTTAACCTAGTCAATGATATACATGCTGAGTTATTTAGGCAGAAGTCTACTACTGATGTCTACAGTTTACTTTTAAATGCGTCCAAAAAAAAAAAACCAAAAACAGGGATTGACGAATTCTTAGAGAAAGGTACAGATATGTGATAAGCCAACTATAGTGAAATGTTAGTGGTAGTCTACATGATAGGTATATGGTGTTCACTATAAAATTTTTCAACTTTGCTATATGTTTGCAAATTTTCACAATAATATATTGGGGAAATGTCTAGAAATGTGATGCTACCCTAGGTCAGCAGGAACTGTGAAAGATTAGACCTGTATTCTGGTTACCAGATGCTTAGAGCCTTTTTTTTTGGGGGGGGGGGGGTGGTTTTTTTTGTGTGTGTGTGTTTGTTTTGTTTTGAGACGGAGGCTTTCTCTGTTGGGCGGGGTGGTAGAGTCTCGCTCTGTCACCCAGACTGGAGTGCAATGGTGTGATCTTGGCTCACTGCAATCCCCATCTCCCGGGTTTAAGTGATTCCCCTGCCTCAGCTTCCCAAGTAGCTGGATTACAGTCACCTGCCAGCATGCCCAGCTGATTTTTTGTATTTTTTGTAGAAACAGGGTTTCACCAGGTTGGTAGGGCCGGTCTCGAACTTGATCCACCCGCCTTGGCCTCCCAAAGTGCTGGGATTACAGGCATGGGCCACCACGTCTGGCCTGCTAGAGCCTTTAAATATACTTGATATAATTTCTTGATTTCTGATCTCTTGAGGTTTGGTTTACTTAAATCTAATGATCTCATCTCCCTTCTACTTTCACTTTCTGGTTTATCTAGTAATTTGTTCATTCATTTTCAAATATTTACCTTTCCCTACTAGGAACCAGGCCCTGTGTAGGTGCTGGGGATACGGTTTTGCTTCTGCTCCCCTGGAGCTTCCATTGTGGCTTATTCCCAGTAACTAGCACTTCCAACTCCCTTAATTCTATCAGGAATGCTGGTTCCTAAATCTTTGAGGCTATGACAGACAGGACCATTTTATCCATTGAATAGTATAGACCCCACACCAAGGGTCTGGGAGCTTTTTAGGGTTCTATGAAAAATGTTTTATGTATGAAAAAGAGAATCTCCAATTTACGAAAGAAAATCGCAAAATCCTATACATTGCCAAGACTGTCAAAATGAACTCCTAGTCTTTTTGATTCGCTCTTTTTTTACGGCTCTGAATACCATAGGACTGCAAGCATTTCTGGCCCCAGTGGCAAATCTAGCCCTAATATAGATGCTGTATGGGAATAAGATACTCCAATAGTCAGATGGATGCCTAAGCTATCATAGCCTAATGACATTGCAACTTCATTCTTTGAACTTCTTATGCTGATCCGTTGTTCAGCAGTCCACCTTCTGATTCCCATGTAGGTCTGCAGTATTTCTTCGGGTATTTCTAGTCTCTGTAACAGTGCTTTCTCAGGTAAACCTATAAAATAGCTTGTGATTAAAAGCTGTCACACCACATGTCTAGAATTTGAGAAGGAAATAAGCCAATCCAGGTCCGGTGGCTCATGCCTGCAATCCCAGTACTTTCAGAGGCTGAGGTGGATGGATCACCTGAAGTCAGGAGTTCGAGACCAGCCTGACTCACCTGATGAAACCTTGTCTCTACTAAAAAAAAAAAAAAAAAAAATTAGCTGGGCGTGGTGGCAGGTGCCTGTAATCCTAGCTTGGGAGACTGAGGCAGGGGAATTGCTTAAACCCAGGAGGCAGAGGTTACAGTGAGCTGAGATCGCGCCACTGCACACTAGTCTGGGCAACAGTGTGAGGCTCCATCTCAAAAAAAAAAAAAAAAAAAAAAAAAGAAAAAAAAACGGCCAATCATGTCAACATTTTGGTCCCTTATGGCCATACATTTCTCAGTGTAAATTAAATTGCTAATTTAAGAGGGACAAGGAATATTCTTGCATATCTTCTCATCTGTACCTTTAGTTTTAAACTTACTTCTAGTTGATTCAGGCCTTGTGAAGCCTTGTTTTATCTTATTCTTGGCATCCAGGTTCTAACCCCTACTGTTCTCCCATTATTGACCATCCCTTGCCAGGCCTATCTTAACAGCTGAACCCTGGGCTTCTTAACAGCTGAACCCTGAGCTTCTGTTTCTCCTTTTTTTTTATTTTTTATTTTTATTTTTATTTTGAGACGGAGTCTGACTCTTGTTGCCCAGGCTGGAGTGCGATGGCGCGATCTTGGCTCACTGCAACCTCTGCCTCCCAGGTTCAAGCGATTCTCCTGCCTCAGCCTCCCGAGTACCTGGGATTACAGGCATGTGCCACCACACCTGGCTAATTTTATACTTTCAGCAGAGACTGGATTTCTCCATGTTGGTCACGCTGGTCTCGAACTCCTGACCTCAGGTGATCTGTCTGCTTTGGGGAGGCCACTGCACCCGGCCTGCTTCTCCATCTTTAACTGTGTTGTTTAGGCCCTTAGGCCCCATCAACTCAATCCCCAGGTTCTTTGGGCCACAATGATGCCCCTGAGGTTTGTGCTCCCTGAATGCCCCAGAGCTGGAAACGAGGCAGCTTTTGCACATAAAATTCCTTTATTACAAAGGTTTCCTACTAATACATACTAACAGGTATGAGATATTGATTTTAAAAACTTTGTTTTAACCAAAGAAAATAACAGAACAATGTCTTATAAGCCAATATTTAAAGAAAACTGAGAGCATTGTGAAATATTTTATTTTTATTGGTTGGTAATTATATCTGGATGGCTCATGAAATTACTGTAACATCCTTGATTTTATTGTTTCCTCAGGAATTTCTTCTCTATTTTAAATAAAACATGTTTTATGCACTGAGTGCATTTAGTATCTCCGCTTTGTTAAACAATTACAACACTGTACATACACAGAGCTATGTAATGTGCCTATTTTAACTATAGATTAGCTTCCTAGGAAGAACAGTGTTGGTATCCTTTTCCATTTAGAGTCAAAAGGAGTCTGATGGCAGTTCTTTACAGTGACTGTTGAGATGACTGAATCTTCCTGAGCCAAGTCTTCACATCTCTATTTTGTTGTTTTAATTTGAATAACTATGAAAAGATTGATTTTTTTTTTTTTTTAGGACAGGGTCTCACTCTGTCACCCAGGCTGGTGTGCAGTGGCGTGATCATGGCCCACCGCAGCCTCTATCTCCCTGCCTCAGGTGATCCTCCTACCTTAGCCTCCCAGGTAGCTGGGACTATAGGCTCCCACCACCACCCCCGGCTAATTTTTGTATTTTTTGTTAATCCTCCCACCTTGGCCTCCCAAAGTGTTAGGATTACAGGCGTGAGCCACTGTGCCCAGCTAAAAAAGACTGAAATCTTTTATTTCTGATAGAGACCTCAAAGAGCTCACTGCATAGGACCGACCCCAGGTTGCCTTTATATTTCCTGCATTTTTCTTCTGTTGGTCTTCAGGGAAGCTGTATAATATAAATGAATGAATGAATGTGTTTGTGTGTGTGTGTGTATGCACACATATATCTCCATTCAAAAGCTATAGCACATGTATGTTTTTGTGTATGTGTATATATGTGCATGTATATAAGTATATATGCACACACACATATATATACACACAAAGCTATAGAAAACATATATCTTGTGACTAAAATTCCCTGAACTACCAGTAACTCCAGAAATTCTATTCTGGAAAACAATGGCTAACATCTAATTCATTATCTTAGAATTATCACAAAAGGAATATGAAAATGTGGTTTCTAGTGCAGTGCAGTTAAGATAGGTATTCTTGTAGGCCATGGTTCCAAGAAATTTGTTTGACAACTGTATTGAGTAGTATATTTCTCCTCTTCCTTTATTTTTTTCCCTTACCTCTTTTGAAAAAAAAGAAAATTGTGTTCCTCTTTCAAGTTCTTTTTCTCTCCTGGCTTATATAGTATGTTACCAGCAGAACTTTCTCTAAAATGAAAGGAAGTCATTGCTAAGAAGAGACAAAAAGTTAACGGGATTAAAGGAATGAAAAGGCACATGGAATTGCTGGGTGTGTCCAGAATCTGAGGAGATTTGAAAAGAGGAGCAGAAAGAATTTTTGTATTTTAGAAGTTGAGGGGCCCTCCTGGCCTAGTTTGAAAAACACGATCAGATACAGTTTGAAAAAAGTCCAACAAGATCTAGTGGGAAGATAAGCTAGCATCTTGTTACAAAAAGTGCCACGGGCCTTGGCTGTATATTTTTAATGAACTTCTTAATTTCATATCAAAATGCATAGATACTTCCTGACCCCTGTTTTTGCCCTCCTCCATTTCCCTGTTAAATCCTGACCTTTCTCTGTTGCTCTTCCCGTTTCCACCCTGGAGGTCTGGCTGCCAGGACTATTCTCAGGTTGCCTGGGTCTCCGCAGTAGCACCCATTAGCCATGTTGCTTCTGGGCAGGCAATCTGTTTCTGTGCAAAGAGAAAATGCTAGGGTGAGTCACCAGTCCTTCTTTCCTAACAAAAGAGCATTGTACTGTGCTGTTTGATTTCGGCTCTTGTGTGCAACTTGTGATTGCAAACTAATGGGGACATGAGGCACAGCTCCAGTGACACACCTCTCAAGTTGCATTATAATGATCTGATTGGGATGTGCCCCATTAGACTGTGAGATCCTTTAAGGCTAGGATGCTTTTATTTTTGTGTTTCCAGCCCTAAGCACACTGTGCCTAGCTCAGGGTAAGCACTAAACAAATGTTTCTTGATGAGAATGCTACAGGAGGAAGGGAAGGGTTGTGCTGTACACCAAGAGTGAAAGAGCTACCCTTTAAGAAACAGACTCACCTTCATGTGGCCTGCAGAGGGCGCTCTTACATCATAGCTATACCGTGCATCCTTTGTCCATCACTGGTTTCCTGGAGCGGTACCTTTTCGGTGAAACCACAGGTGTGAGGCTTTGGAAATTTAGACTTAAACCTGCCCAAACACATTAGAATATCATCAGTTGCACAGAACAAATCCACATTACAGTTATTCCAAGAGGACAATAACATTCCAGGATTTGCTTAAAGAATACTAAGCCATGACATCTCAGAAAGTCTAACCTAAAGAAGAAAAGTTGCCTGGTTAGTCTTCCGGGAAATATTAGTAATTATTAAATTTGGAAAACTCCTTACACTCACTTGATGAGCCAGTTCATCTAATACAACTACCTCATTTCTCAGATGAGGAAACTGAAGTTTATAAAATTCCTCAAGGTGATGTATCTACAGAAAAATTATACTCTCAATTCAGGCTTTAGATGTGTTGAAAACATGTGGCAAGGTGTCCATTTGGAAAAAAATGCACATAGAGCCTTCTCTCTCTCTCCCTCTCCTTATTTAAATAGATTTAAAAATAAAAATATGACCAGGCATGGCAATTCATGCCTGTAATCCCAGCACTTTGGGAGGCCAAAGTGTGAGGAATGCTTGAACCCAGGAGTTCGAGACCAGCCTGGGCAACATAGCGAGGCCCAGTTTCTACAAAAAATTAAAAATTAGCCAGGTATAGTGGCATGTGCCTATAGTCCCAGCTACTCAGAAGCCTGAGGTGGGAAGATAGCTTGAGCCTAGGAGGTCAAGGCTGTAATGAGCTGTGATCACACCACTGGACTCCAGCCTGGGCAACAGAATGAGATCCTGTCAAAAAAAAAAAAAGTATTGTAGTAACTGCTGAATAAAATACATAAGACTTTGGAAAGACACTATTTTAATGGTGAATCTGGACAGCACTCCAAAGATACCTTTTAAAAGGTTGGAAGTAGGCTTTTAACATGTTATGGGGGGGGGATCAACTGTGTAATAAATAATACAGAAGTAAAAAGTGTTGGTTAGTCAAACTGACCATCAAATTGAGAGCCAAAAGCCCATTAAGTTATGATTCTGGACAAGGCTCTGATTGCCACAGTTGAGAAAAGTTATTTGACATCTTTTTCACATAGTTAAGCTTAAAAAACAAACGCAAACTCAAATCCCCAAACCCTCAAAGCATCAAGTGCTTAAAACATTTATAATATACCTTCCACATCAACCCTCACCTCCTCCTTGTTTCCGAGAAACCATGACCCTCCTCCAGGCTGGTTCTTGATCAGCACCCCTCTCCCTTCCCTGGGTGCCTCCCATTTGTAGGCAGCCATTACTGGGCTGTATTCTGGTTGTGTTGAGGCTGGCAGGAAAGGGAAACAAGGATAGCATGTTCATGTGGTGTGAGTGGTCTCAGTTTCTAGGCAAGCTGGGGGAAAGGGCAGTCCTGTGGCCCTGTGAGAGGCCCACTCAGACCCTGGCCCAGCTCTAAGGGCTGAAGCAGTTCTGAGGGATAGCACTTCACTTCCATCCGTATTAGAGGCCCTACCTGGGGAGAACAGCAGCAGAAAAGCAGCCCTCAAAGAAATGCTACCATGGGAAATGGCCTCAAGAGAGGAGCCTCAGCCCGAGATGAGATGGAGGGTGGCCTTGAAGAAAAGAGGCCCTGGCTTCAGGGGCACTGGGGAAAACAGATGAGGTGTTGGAAGGAAGCCACTCAGGATTCTTTGCAAAGTGAGGACAGTGAAGCTGGGATTAAGGACCCTTAAACAGGGCAAATTACAGGAATTCTCCCCAGCCAATGGGAAGGGGAAGGGCCTGAGCATTTTCCTCTCAAATTTCAAGATGCCTAGGGATCACTGGGGAATCTTGTTGAAATGCAGAGTCTGATCCAGTAAGTCTAGAATCCTGCCTCAGATTCTGGATTCCTACCAAGCTCCCTGGTGAGGCTGCAGGTTCTTAGGCCCCACTTTCAGAAGCAAGAGTGGCTTCTAGACTTCAGAATAGAGAAAGTTGAACAATAGAGACCATGTATCAGAGAGTCACCCATGGGCAAATTCGTTGGAAGTCCTAGCTCCAGTTCAAATTCAAGGTTGTCTTTGCAGATTCCCAGGTACTAAAAGGATTTTAGGAGTTCAATTATTGGGCAAGGAGAGGAAAGGATCCCAGATTTAAGGACCCCCTCATCAGTATCCCTTGGGGCTGGGAAGAAGAGTGGCTGGTTTTCTATTAGGTAGGGGGCCCAGATCATCTAATAATCAGGGCGATCTGGTGAGGCAGAAGATGATGCCAGCAAGAAAGACCTTGGAGGGCCTGGAGGGCCTGCTGAATTCTCCATAGGCAGCTTTTCACATGCTACCTGAAGGCAGCCACTGGGAGGTTTTGAAAGAAGATACTAGGTTACTCCACACTAGCACTTGCCAAACTAGCTAACCTGGTGAGAGAAGCTGCTAATTGTAATAGAGGCAGAATGTTATCTGTACTATTTAAAACAGTTTTCCAGGGGGAAATGAGGACAGGCCAATGCAGCCAGAAAGCACTGGGTGTTGGCTTTGCAGAAAGCTTAGTTATACTTAGGAACAGGGTTGCCAGGTGTCCTGTTTTGAACTGGACAGCATGGTATTTTAGCTTCTAGTGTGTGAAAATGCAGTAAATGCTTGTTTTTTAAAAAAATCATTATTGCGGCCAGGCACGGTGGCTCATGCCTGCAATCCTAGCACTTCAGGAGGCCAAGGTGGGTGGATCACCTGAGGTCAGGAGTTCCAGACCAGCCTGACCAACATGGAGAATCCCATCTCTACTAAAAATACAAAAATAAAAAATAAAAAAATTCGCCAGGAGTGGTGGCGCATGCCTGTAATCCCAGCTACTCAGGAGGCTGAGGCAGGAGAATCGCTTGAACCCAGGACATGGAGGTTGTGGTGAGCTGAGATCCCGCCATTGCACTCCAGCCTGGGCAACAAGTACGAAACTCCATCTAAAAAAAAAAAAATCATTATGGCCAGGCATGGTGGCTCATGCCTGTAATCCTGGCACTTTGGGAGGCCGAGGTGGGTGGATCATGAGGTCAAGAAATCGAGACCATCCTGTCCAACGTGGTGAAACCCTGTCTCTACTAAAAACACGGAAATTAGCTGGGCATGGTGCCGCTGTGCCTGCAGTCCCAGCTACTGGGGAGGCTGAGACAGGAGAATTGCTTGAACCTGGGAGGCGGAGGTTGCAGTGAGCCAAGATCATGCCACTGCACTCCAGCCTGGCGACAAGAGCGAGAGTCTGTCTCAAAAAAAAAAAAAAAAAAATCAAGAGGGCTTCAGCGTTCATGTCCTAAACCATTTCAAGCAAAACATGATGTTGCTGGCCCAAAGGATGGGAAGCCTTGGCCAGGTGCAGTAGCTCACACCCATTAGCCAAGTACTTTGGCAGGCTGAGGCAGTTGTGCAGGTGGAGGCAGTGGCATTGTCTTGGGCTATGCAACTCCGGCCCCAGGTTAGCCAATGTCTCTGTCTCAGGCCCTCCCCCCAGTAGTGGGACTGCAGGCACGAGCGGGCACATGCCCGTAGATTCGTGTTTTTAGTAGGACGGGTTCACCACGTTGGCAGGTGGTGTCGTTTCTTGACCCATGATCCAGCCGACCTCGGCCTTCCCATGCCGGATTCCGGCATGCAAGCCACCATGCCTGGCCTATATGTTTTTTTTTTAGATGGGGTTCGTATTGTTGCCAGGCTGGGATGCAGATGGGGGATTAGTTCACCAAACTCGCATGTCTGGGTTCAAGGCGATTCCTGCTTCCAGCTCCGTGAGTAGCTGGATTAGGCATGCGCCCAGCTCCTGGCGAATTTTTTTATTTTTTATTTTGTATTTTTAGTAGGATGGATTCTCCATGTTTGTGTCAGGCTGGTTGTTGGGTAGATGCACACCACCTTGGCCTCCTGATGCTTTAGGATGATGCAGGGAGCCACCCGTGCCCTGTCGCAATACTGATTTTTTTAATATTAGTTGTGCATTTCTGCATTTTACACACGTAGAAGATAAAGATACCATGGGCGTGTCCAGTCAAACCAGCTGTGTGTTTTAGTATTGTTAACGAAGTTTTCTGCAAAGCCGAACT